TGGCATCTCGTTCTGGAACCTGTGGCGCTTGCTTTGTGGGCACTGACGGTGAGGACAGGCTGCTCCCAGTAGACGGGGTCGGCCAGTGCATGTGCGACGCAGTCCCTCTCGGGGTGTTTGTCCACCGCACGGCTCCTGGTCTGGGGGGCGGGGGAGCACGTTGGGGTCCCTGTCCGGGCTGGCATGGCCGACATCACCTGGCTCCCTTCCCAGTTCTCTTCACAACTGTTTCACAACAAGCACATCTCGTTTTTATAGAAACAGCAAAGCCGTTAGTCAGAAGCAGCTCATTGTGTTTACTAGTGATTTTATATCGTCTGTAAATGACGTGCCTGTGGCTGTAATTTATATCCATCAGCGCAGCCCAGCGCATCTGTCCTGGCTTCTGTGGTGGAATCAGTGTGGCTTTGCTGGCAGCTGCCAGGCACGAAGGGCTGGTGAGGGGCTCCATGGAGAGGCAAGCCGGGGTGGTCAGAGCGCCTGGTGGCCCGGCACAGAGGGCTTCTCCCCACCTCCTGGAGCCTGAGCCTGGAACCTGGAGTCTGAGCCTGACCCGGAGCCTGAGCCTGGAGCCTGAGCCAGAGCCTGACCCGGAGCCTGATCCTGGAGCCAATGGAGGGCCGGCTGAGGTGTGGCTGAGGTGAGACCGGGAGGGGCAGGGGTCCTTTGTTGCTGAAGACACTAGGGAGCCTTTGACTGAGCCAGAGCGTGAGCTTTGTCTGGAAATAAAGTTCTGAGTGTCCAGGCTCTTCCGAGGCACAGATCCCGTCTCACAGCTGTGTGCCACGCATGGTGCAGCAGGACCCCTCCTGGACAGACCCCCGCCTGGGCTCCCTGGGGTCAGCCCTCCTGCGGGAGGCCTGGCAGGACGCTACCCACCCCCTTACTTTCTTAGGGGACACGCCCTGTGGCGGCGCCCACCATGCTCAGCTGGGCGCCAAGGTGCGGGGTCTGTGGGACAGGCCTGCTCCCGGGGGCCGGGTCTAGAATGCTCAGGCCTGGCCCCTGCCCTGAGCTTCCCCAGGAATTCAGGGGCCTCCTGGTGCTGGACCTGGGGGGGGCCCACCCCAAAGGCCTGCAGGTGGGTCTCGCTCCCGTTGGAGCCGTGGGGCCTGCGAGTTTTGTAACAGCCGCAGGGGTTCCTGGTCTGGGACCTGGACGGTCAGCACCCAGAGGCCGGCAGCAGCAGAGCTGAGCTCGCGGAGGGCAGGGGCCAGGCGCAGCCTCTGGAGGCACACGCAGACCCACACGGGGAGGGCCCAAGGGTGCCACGTCCCCTGCTGTGCCCTCCCTGCCCCAGGGACGCCCTGGAGAGGGTGCTGCGGGCCCAGGACAGGGGGCGTTGTTCCCGAGTCCCACCCGAACCTCCAGCTCCCAGGGTTGGACCAGCAGCTGGAGCCCAGGTGGCGCTGCTGGAAGAACAGGGTCCTGGATGGTGTGGGGACGGGCGGGGACACCTCCTCCAGGGGTCTGCCTGCCGGTCCCGCCCTCCTGAAGGTGCTGGGCTGGGGGCGCTTTGGGGGTGGGGCTGGTCCGCCCAGTAATTGGGCCAAACCCTCAGGAAACTGTTCTCCGTCCCCTCTGACCCACTGCGCCTCCAGGACCGAAGGTGGTAGCGTGGCGGCCCCTGCTGGACGGTGGCGGCACTGCAGCGCAGAGGGGTGTCACCCAGAGAGGAGGGGGGGCACCGGGGAACCTGAGGGTGGAATCCAGGTCTTCCTGACATGCCAGGGCGTACCCCTGAGGCTCATCAGTTGCCCCCGCCCCACCCCGTGGGCAGCAGCGCGGTCCACATCCGCCTGGGGCAGGTGCCTGCTCACCGGGTGGTCCAGGCTCACCGCCCACGCCTGCAGACAAGTGCCCAGGCAGGGGCTGCGGAGGTAGGAATGGAGCTGGGTTCCTGCGCTGGAGACCAGAGGGGGCTGTGGGGAGCTGCAGGGGCTCACCCCGGAGGCCAGCGCTCTGGGGCGCGTGGGGAGCGCAGGGTTGGGGTTCTGGAGACCCCCTGTGCCCGTCCACCCTCCCTGCATTTAGACACCGTGTTTTCTGGTGACATCCTCTCAGCCGTGGGATTGGCTGGGCTCAACCAGCTTCTCGCTGGGCGGTGGCTGAGGCTTCATCACCTGAGGCTGCTCACCGGGGCTGGGAGGACGCCAGCCGCTGGGGCTGATCCAGCAGCCGGGGCATCGTGGGCTCCCTCCAGCTCGCTCCACTGGGCCTCCACAGTGAGGCAGCCTGGGAGGTGCCAGCTCCGTACCTAGCTTCCCAGGCTCAGCTCCCAAGGAGAGACAGAGTGAGAGGCAGAGAGGGAGAGAGACTGAGATACTGATAGAGACACAGAGAGGTAGGAAGAGAGAGATGCAGATACAGAGAGAGAAAAACAAACAAAGAAAAGAAATCTGAGAGCTTGTGCACCAGGCGGAGGTGACTTCCTGTCAGGGCCCAGCCTTGGCAGCCACGTGGGCCTTGCAGCCATTCTGCACTGGTTGAGCAGTCAGAACCCCACCCAGACTCAGGTTGAGAAGAGAGATCCCTCCTCTCAGTGGATGGATGGTGGGTGGATGGATGGTGGGTGGATGGTGGGTGGATGGATGGATGGATGGATGGATGAATGAATGGATGGGTAGATGGATGGATGGTGAGTGGATGGATGGATGGATGGATGGGTGCATGAATGGATGGGTGGATGGGTGGATGGATGGATGGATGGATGGGTGAATGAATGGATGGATGGATGGTGGGTGGGTAGATGGATGGATGGATGGGTGGATGGATGGATGGATGGTGGGTGGGTGGATGGATGGATGGATGGATGGTGGGTGGGTGGATGGATGGATGGGTGATGGATGGGTGGATGGATGGATGGATGGATGGTGGGTGGGTGGATGGATGGACAGAGAAGGAAATACAAGCCCCATTACACCTGTCCAGGCCCATCCCACATGTTGGTGCGGGGACCTGGTCCCAGCAGACCCGCTCAGAGGCAGCTGGTTTGCAGTAGGGAGAGCCCAGTGACCTGTGAAAAGCATCCCACCTTCCACCCTGTGTTCTGTGAGGCTCTAGGGCTTCCCAGCTCCTCCCTCTGGGGTGTGTGGGGTCCCTCATGCTGGTCTCTGGCCTCCGGCCCAAGGTGTGATCCAGGAGACAACCCCCATGAGGTGCATGGCCCAGCCCTCCCCAGCCTGTCTCCCCATCGCTAAGGTACATGAGGCCAGCTTCTGGGAGGCTGCTGAGCGGGTGGAATCAGGACCCCGTCACGTGTGGGGGCTGCATGGGCTCAGCACAGCTAGGACGTCCGTCAGGTCCCGAGCAGGAGAAGCAGAAGCTGCCCAGTCCTGTTGGACACGTGGGAAATGCTTGGGACCGAGGACGCCTGCAGATGGACCTGCCGCAGCCCCCCTGAGCGGTGCACACCGCCGGGCATGTTCTCAGGCCCGTGCCCGAGTGAGGTGTGTCGCTGCCTCACGCGTGTGTGTGGTGAGCTCTGGGTGGGGACGACCCCGTGTGTCCGTCACCTGCCGGTGGACACTGGCTGCTCCCACCTCTAGCTGCTGTGACTTGTGCGGCTGTGAGCGAGTGTGCAGGCCCCTGTGCCCCTGTGTTCAGTTCTCGGGTCTGTGCCCAGGAGTGGACTTGCTGGGTGGTGGTCACTGCATTTAACCATCTGAGGAGCCGCCGGACAATGTCCGCAGAGGCTGCCACCTTCCACCCCGCCGGCTCCTCCGGGTTCTGCTCCCCCCTCGTCCTCACCTACACTCGCCTTCTGTTTTTATTTTTATTTTTAAAAATTTATTTGAGAGAGAGATTTGCTGCTCCACCCCTCCACGCACTCAGTGCTTGCTTATTGCATGTGCTGTGACGGATGCTCGAACCCACAACCTTGGCGTATTGGGACGACACTCTAACCATCTGAGCTGCCCGGGCAGGGCTGTCTTCCGTTTTTAAGTTCTCGCCACCCCTGGGTGTGAGCTGGCACCTCTCAGAGCCTGAACTTTGCTCCCTGGTGACTGGCGGTGGGAGCATCTTTCGTGGGCTTCGTGGCCATGTGTGTTTTCCTTGGAGAAATGGCCATGCGGGTCCTGCCCCATGTTTAACGGGGTCATTTAGCTTTTCATTATTGAGTTGTAAGCGTTCCTTACCAGTGGTTTTTAAAAATATTTTTTTATTGATTTCAGAGAGGAAGGAAGAGGGAGAGAGAGAGAGATACAATAGAAACATCAATGATGAGAGAGAATCATTGATCAGCTAGCTGCCTCCTGCACACCCCCTATTGGGGATCGAGCCCGCAACCAGGGCAGAGAATTGAACCGTGACCTCCTGGTTCATGAGATCCACACTCAACCACTGAGCCACACAGGCTGGCACAAGTGGACTTCTTTGCGTGTGGCACCGATTTGCCTGTGAACTTAAAACCCGCAGCTCCGCCCTGGGTGGTGTTGCCCAGTGATGGGTGTATTGGTGCTCCCACTAAGGGTCAAGGGCACAGGCCTGGGTTGCAGGTGGGTTCCCAGCCCTGTCTGGGTGTGTGCGGGAGGCAGCCAATCTCTCTCTCCCCCGCCCCCACCTTCTCCTTCCCACTAGCTGTCTCCCCACCCCTTCCACTCTCTCAACAATCAATGGGAAAACATCCTCGGATGAGGATTAAAAAACAAAAGCAAAGCCCCCTCAGTGCCACTGCAAGGGGCAGGGCCCGGGGCGGAGTGGGAACCCATGTCCTAGTGCGGTCCATCCCCCCCCACCCCCGCAGGTAAGGGAATGGCTACGAGTGGGTGTGCAAGCTTCCCTGCTGGTCCCCACCCTCCACAGGAGGGTGGCTGCCTGGGAGCCGCTCTGCTCAGGGCTGTGCCCAGCTGAGTGCCTCGGCCTCCGTGCCCACAGGGGCCTGGCAGCACGTCCCGCCCCGCAGCCCGGGGAGCAGCCCCAGGGCCCGAGGACCCTCAGACCCACCCTCCCCCCCAGCTTTGGGGAACTAAGCAAAAATTAAGTATTTTTCTGCCAGGAGTGCCCGCTCCTCCTCCCACCCACACCAGGGTCCAGGGCCGAGGCCAGTCCAGCCAGATGGGTGCTCTCTGCTTCGCCCTCAGGGCCCCTGGACACACCTTGTGAGGGCCTCTGGGGCTGTGCCTCCCTCCCTGCACCTCTGGCTTTGGCCCCCCGGGAGGGGGAGGGTGGCTGGCCCCCCTGCAGAGCTCCCCCAAAGCTGCTACCCCATCTTTCCTCTGGCTTTTCTGTTTCTCTGGGTGGAACACAATGACCCTTTTGTAGGGGGTGGGCAGAGGACTCTGTGCCCAGGGCTGCGTGGGGAGCCTGGCTTTTCTGCAGGCTGTGCCCAGCACCCCCTCCAGGAGGCTGTCCCCGGCCGCACAGCCTGCCCTGCAGCCCAGTGACCTTCCCTGGGCGACCGCATCCTGCGGGGCCAGTGGAGGGCCGCCTCCGGGCAGGCAGCAGGCCCTGGAGGAGGAGGAGAGCGTGTGGCCCGGGAGGGAGGGAGGGGGGAGGACTGGCGGCCCCTGGAGAGCTCTGGCCGCGGTCGTGTCCTGTGGTTGTTCAGCCCGAGCTCCAGTGCGTGTGGGGGGCAGGGGCAGGGGCAGGGTCTGCTCTGCCAGGTGTGCCCGCTCCTCCTCCACCCATGCCCCATGCGAGGGTCCAGGGCCAAGGCCAGTCCAGCCAGATGGGTGCTCGCTGCTTCAGCCCTCAGGGTCCTTCGGGGGCCGGGGTGCCGAGGCCTGAGTCTCAGACCCAGAGCGTCGCCCTGGCTGTGGCCCCAACCCTGGCAACTCGGGAGAGAAGTGAAGGCCACTCTCAGGCCCACAGGCTGCCCGCGCCGAGGGCTTGCAGGCAGAGGGGTTCCTGTGGGCACAGCGGCGCTGGTTCGCAGCCTGAGACTCGAGGAGGACTCTGGGTGGTTGCTCTGTTCTCCGTGGGCCTGGGCATCTGGAGGCCCTGGGCTGGGCTGGGAGCTGTGGGGTCCTGGCCCTTGGGTGGGGGTCTCTGCTGATTACTGGCGTCCTCCGCCTGGCGGTCTGGGGGTAAGACGGGGAGGATAGAGGCTTCCGGAAGGTGCTGAGCGGCTATTAGCAGCGACCGGGACTGGCCGGCGGGCAGCTGTGACTTTTCAGCCGCCTCTGTTGCAATTTGTTCTGAACAGGATGTGTCACTGCGCTCATAACTGAAGGAGAAAACAGTCTGAGAAGACGCATGGGCACCGGAGGAGGGGCACCTGTGCCCGTCCCCTCCTCTCTGTCCAGGCGCCTCCCGCCTGAGGCCCCGGCAGGAGGGCTTCGCCAGGGCCTGGGCCCACCCTGTCCCGTCCCGTCCGGCGGAGCATGCAGGGTGCGGCCCTTACTCCTCCTGAGCACCCACCCACTGGACGCCTTGTCACCTGCGGGCTGTCTCCCCCGGGGCAGAGATGGCGAGCGGGGTCCCCAGCTCCGGGCAGCGCCCCTTCCTTCCCCAGCACTCGGCGGGCGAGCTGGGCGGGATGCGGCCGGGAAGGCGCAGTGGGTATGCGGGTGCTGGCACCCCGACCCCCCCAGGCCGGCAGGCCCCCCCCCCCCGGCTCCCACAGGGTGGCTGGTGGCTGAGTGCAGAGCGGGTGGCACATGGGATGTGGACGGGTGGGCGTCGGGCTACGCGGAGGCCGGCGCGAGGCTGGGTGCGCCCCGAGGAGGCCGCCTGCCCGCGCCGCTGGGGGCCGCCCGCGGGCCGTGCCGGCCAGAGCGCGCCGTCTGCGCCCCGGCCCCGCGCGGCACTCGCCTGGCGGCCTCGGCGGCGGCGACACGAGCGGCGGCGACCGGCCGGCGGAAGAATGCGGAACCCGCGCACCGGCTGAGGCCGGCATGGCGCAGGGGCGGAGGCGGGCGGCCCGCGCGGGGCCCTAGCGGCGGAGGCGACCTCCTGGCCCCGCCCGGCCCGGGGGGCGCGTCGCGGCGATGGCCCAGGAGCGGCCGCGGGTGTGCGAGCTGCTGCGGCGGCCCGGGAACGCGCGCTGCGCCGACTGCGGCGCCCCGGGTAGGTGCGGGCGGCGGGGGCGGGGACGGGTGGGTGCGGGCGGCGGGGGCGCTGCCAGGGTTCGGATCCCGGGCGCTGCCGGGTGGGTGCCGCCGGGATACAGACCCGGGGCCGGGAGGGCTATGGCGCCGCGTGGCTGGGGCGCGGGCGCGCAACCTGGTCCCCGCGCGGGTGGGGCGCGCCGGCTGCACCTGCGGGACCGAGTCCAGGCCCCCTCCTCCCCTCCCCCGCCCCTCCCCTCCCCCCGCCGCCTTCTGCGCCGGGCTCCGGGCTCCGGGCTCCGGGCTCCGGGCTCCGGGCTCCGGGCTCGCTGTCATCCGCGGACCCGCCGCGTTGCGAAACCTCGGGCTCCGCAGAGAAAGAGGAAATCGTGCCGCGCGGGCGGGAGGGTGGGAGCCGCGGCCGTGCTGGGCGTGGGCGTCCACCTGCCCCCCGCGACCTGCGGCAACGTCATGGCCCCTCGGAGCCGGTGCCGCGCCCCGCACAGCAGGGGGGAGCCCTCCCCGCGGGCACCTCCTGGACTTTGCCCGCGTGGCCGGCTCCCTGGGGTCCGCAGGAAAGGGACCGGGGACTTCCGGGGGGCGGGGGGCACAGCGCACCCCCTCATGCGGGGCGAGGCGGCCTCACGCAGGGACTGTCCCCAGGCGCCTCAGTTGGGCCCTGGACGCTCCACGGGGGGCTCCCAGCCAGGACCCCCTAAGGCACCGGGAGTGGCCGGGCCCTGGGCGGGTGGTGGGAAGTCCCTGCATGTGTCCCCGTCACCTGGGCGGCCTGGACAAGCCCAACAGGACCTTCCCGCCCCCCCTGCGCCCCTCCCCGTGGGCAGGGAGGGGCCTCTGCGGCCTCAGGTCCTGGGATCCGGCTGGTCAACTGCCGCGGCCGGGGTGGGGGAGGGGGCAGCACACGGCGCCTGCGTCTCCCACTGGCCTCCCCAGTGCCCCAGGGATTGCTCGGGTGGGGAGCCCTCACCGCAGGCTCCTCCTCCCAGACCTGCCTTTCCACTTGTTGGGGGAAGTGCCAGGGGGTCAGGGGGGAAGGGCCGTCAGCTGGGCACTCAGGTTTGGCCACACTGCCCTCCGGCCTCTGGTCCCCGGGCTGCGGCCTAGGTGGCTCTCACAGAGCCCGGCTCCCCCGGCCCAGGCCATCCACATCCGGCCCCCCGCCAGGTGGCCTGGGAGCAGGCCAGCCTTGAGCAGTCGCCCCCACTTCACGGGTGGGGAACCTGAGGGCCTTAGGGGACACGGTGCCTCAAAGGCAGGCAGGACTCCTGACGCCCGGCCACAGCTCTGTGCGCTCTGCTGTGCCCTTGGCCTGCCTTCTCGCTGCCCACGGCCCGCTGCCCGAAGGCCCCCACACCCTCCTTCTCCAGTTGAAGCCGCCGCTGGGGCCCAGATGGCGGCAAGGAACCCCTCTGGCACTGCCCCGGCAGGCGGAGGGGCCGGGTGTTACGCTGGCACTAGCTCTCCCCACCTCGGCCAGCCGGCATCAGCCCTGGACAGCAGGACAGTGCGGGCCGGGGTGTTTGGACCTGGGCAGGCTTGCCAGCTGGCCCTGCGAGGGCTGGGGGAGGGAGGAGGTCTGGGGACCCCTGCAGCCCCCAACACCCGCTTCCCGACCCTCCCCCATGACATTGAACACGGGCCCTGTCTCCCAGCCTCCCCAGGGCGGCCTGTGCAGGGTGGTCCCACCAGGAGCCCTGAGCTGCTGCTGGGAGAGGCTCCGCCCGCGCCCCTGCCTGGACCCGCGGTCAGAAACCAGGTATCTGTTAACCTGCGGTCCGTGCAGAGCTCCCACGGGTGTTCCTGCTGACGGCTAGGCGTCTGTTGGGAAGCCGGTGTGTCTGTGGCCGGAGTGTGAGCTGAACTGCTCGTGTCCAGGAGCCCTGGCTCAGGCTCACTGACAGCAGCGGCTCCCAGGCCTGACACGGTGACCTGAAGTTCCAGGCGTGGGCGAGACCTCCTTTTTTAAAAGTAATTATTTATTGTTGAAAGTGTTACACACGACCCCTTTCCCTCCTTGACCCCCAGCCCGCCCACCCCCGCCCGAACGTCACCTTCACCACGGGGACCCTGCAGACGGGGGCACCGAGCACTCAGGGCAGCCCCGCCCGCACAGGTGCCTCCTGCAGGTGCCTCCCCGGGTGCGCACCTGTCCAACCACGGCCGCAGCCGGCGTCTGGGCGGGTCCGCTGTGAGGAAAGCACTGGGGGGGACCCTGCTGGGTCGCGGGTGGCAGGGCCAGGAGGGGCGTGGTCGCTGTGGAGAAGCCGGGACTTCCTGCTCTACCCCCCCCCCCCCCCCCACTGCCTGTCGGGCCCTCGGCGGCCAGGCCAGTGGGTGCCTTTTCCCTCTCATTGTGTTACAATGCACAACGCCAAGCTGCCATCTCAGCCGCTGGAGTGCAGCGTTGCGTGGCGCCCGATGCGTTCACCCTGCGTGTGGCCCCGTCCCGCCGTGCCCATCACGCTGCCTCTCGCCGGCCGGACAGCCGGCCACCCCCGCAGCCCGCACCCCTGCACCGGCTCTGCCACGGGTCTCCGTGAGTGCAGCGCGCAGGTTTGTCCTGGGTCCGGCGTGTTTCAGGGAGCACGGCCTCCACAGGCCACCGCGAGGTAGACTCTTCTGTTAAAAAAGGCGACGTGCCGGCCCACACGGCTCAGGGCTGAGCGTCGGCCTGGGAACCAGGAGGTCTCAGTTCGATTCCCAGTCGGGGCACAGGCCGGGGTTTTGAGCTTCATCCCCAGTGTGGGGCGTGCAGGAGGCAGCCGATCAATGATTCTCTCTCATCACTGATGCTTCTCCCTCTCTCCCTCTCCCTTCCTCTCTGAAGTCAATAAAAACATATTTAAAAATTCAGATATAACAGACATATAACTTAGAGGAGTCCCACATGTACACCATAACCATTAAATAGTCGCGTGTGCTGTGAAGTGGTCGCCAGAGTAACTGTACTTAACCTCCATCTCCTCACATAGTAACAAGTTATTTTTTTAAATTAAATTCTTTTCCATCACCATTTATGCCCTCCCTGCCCTCCTCCACCTTACAATGCCTTTTTCTTGTGATGAGAGCTTTCAAGATTCACTCTCTTAGCAACTTTCAAGGGTTCGACACGGTACGAGCTGTGGTCGCCGTGGTGTGTGTGACACACCCAGAAATCTTATTATTACTGGAAGCTTTTCCGTTTAACCCTCCGGACCCATGTTCCCGCCTCTGACAGCCACCCGTCTGTTCTCTCTGTGCGTTTGGGGTTTGTTTGTTTCTCTTAGATTCCACAGGTGGTATTTGTCTTTCTCTGACTTATTCCACTCAGCACACGCCCTCAGGGTTCATCCACGTTGTCCTAAATGACAAGGTTTCCTTCTTTTTTAAATATATTTTTATTGATTTCAGAGAGGAAGGGAGAGGGCGAGATAGAAACATCAGTGATGAGAGAGCATCATGGATCGGCTGCCTCCTGCGCGCCCCTCACTGGGGATGGAGCCCCCAGCCCGGGCCTGTGCCCCCACCTGGAATGGAACCGTGACCTCCTGGTTCCTAGGCCGAAGCTCAGCCACTGAGCCGCGCCGCCGGGCAAGTTTCCTCCTCCTTACGGCTGCGGCATAGCCAGTGCGTGTGCGTGGACCCACGGACCTCCGCTCACCTGTGCGCAGGCCCCGGCCGCCCGGACATGGGGACATGGCCGTTGTCAGCCAGGACACAGTGCGCGCGCCTTTCCTCCGGGTTCCAGTGTCGCTGGGTCCACGCGCAGCCGGGCCTGGGCCGCCTTCTCTCGGGCTGCGCCGATTGGCACCCCCGCCAGCAGGGCCCGTGGCTCCCTGTCTCCACCCTCTCGCCAGCCTGGTCCCGGTCTCCGGTGAGCACCATTGCCCGGTGGAGGCGATGGCTGGCCGTGGTTTTGATTGGCGTTTCCCTGGTGAATAGTGACGGGTGCTGAACACCTTCCAGGTACCTGGGGGCGTCTTCAGAGCGTCTTCCCGTGTTCTGTTTGTTGTTGCTTTTTTAAGGGTTGACGCTATTCCCGATGTCCCCATTTCCCCCGGCCTTTGCCCCCCTCCACCCAGCCTGCCCATGTTTTAATGATTGGGTGTTTTTGGTTTGGGGTTTTTTGTTGTTGAACTTGTATGAGTTTTTGTTTTGCTTTGTTTTTAATATATATATATGTATATGTGTATATTTATTGATTTCAGAGATGAAAAGCGAGGGAGAGAAAGAGAGAAACATCAGTGGTGAGGGAGCATCATTGATGGGCTGCCTCCTGCACACCCCCGACTGGGGATCGAGCCTGCAACCCGGGCGTGTGCCCCTGACCAGAATCGAACCCGGGACCCTTCCGTCCGCAGGCCCAAGCTCTAGCCACTGCGCAACCGGCCAGGGCTTGTTGAGTTCTTTGTGTTTCTGAACGTTAAGCCTTTATCGATCCGATCTGCGCTGGTTGCTCTCGTTCGTTGGCTGCCTTTCGTTTTGTTGCTGGGTCCCCTTGCTGCAGGTTTCAGTAGGTTTTAGTTCTGTGTGGCCCCACTTTGCTTTGCCTTCTTGCTTTTGGTTTCAAATCCAAAAAACATTGCCAAGACCACTGTCAGGGAGCTCACCACCTATGCTTTGTTTGGGCGTTTTATGGTCCCAAGTCTTACCTCGAATTTTAAGCCCATTTGGAGTTGATCTGTGTGTTCGGAGTCAGACAGCCGTCCAGCCTCACTGTCGGCACGAGGCTGCCCAGGCTTCCCAGCACGTTGACGGAGAGACTGCTCTTTCCCCACCGCGCGTTCCCTCCTGTGTCGTCCAGTCACCGGCCATGTGTGCGAGGGTTTACTCCTGGGCTCTCTAGTCC